CGCTCCTTTGTGCAGACCTCGGGTGACAATCTTTTGCGCAGGTAGCTCCACTTCTGTTTGGGTATGGGTCAAAGTTAAAACACCAGGAATTGGACAGCAGGTTTTTATGGGTGAGGAATTGGACCGCAGGTTTTAGTCCTTGCTTCCATTTACCAGGGCAATCCATTTGGGGTTACCCTATTTTGACCCACACCCACGTCTGTTTGGCTGAGAGTGGATTTGGAGTCCGCCTGCCGTTGAGTTTGGATTGCTCGCGCGCGCTTCTTTGGTCGTTGGTTTGGGACCCCTTTCTCGTCTTGCCGGTGCTCAGGGAATGACCCGGGGGTGTTAGGAATGAAGCCAGGGGTCCTCTTAAAGGAAACCACAAGGGGTGGGCAAATGGGGGTCGTTCCAACTTTTTCGACTTGTTGGGCACCAGCAAGTTGTCCTTGTTGCCTGGGCGCAGCGAGTGACTTGAGGCTTGGCTGGGCTCCGGTGCAGAAGCCACTGGCACTGAGGAGCTGACTTGCCTATCATCTAGCTGGTTCTAAAGGTATGGTGTTTTTTTTTTGTTTGGAAGAGCATGCCCAGTTTCCGTCCGTTGACTTGCTGCTTTCGCCTTCTTCTTTTTTGCGGAGGGTGCAGCTTTTAGGAGGCCTATGCTATGTTCTGTCTACATATTTAGTCAAGGAGTCGCCTACCAATGACATGTTCAGTCAAACTATGAGTGCAGGGAAGGCATGTGGCCATGGGTCAAAACCAATGGTACCATTTTGGGTAGGCGCACCACCCATTTTAGTCTATTTTAGTGGGGATTGGGATGTTCACTGGGGGTACGGGGTTTTGACCCATGGCCATGTCTCTTTCTCTCTGTTTTGCTCTTCCCCCTTTGTCTTGTGAGTTCGCGACTCGGAGCTCCCACGCTCCCAATAGGACAGCAACGCGCCGTGAGAGCAAAGATCCGGCTGAACAGACGCTCAATAGGGCTCGGGGGGGGGGGGAGCCCAACTAAGCCCGGCCTTAAGGGCTTAGCAAAAGTCAGCAAGGTTTGCCGGCAAAGAACTATGAAAGGAGCTGGCGTCTGCGCTGCCCGCGGGTTTGGAGAAACTCCATTTGATGCTGGAGTGGTCTCCTCAGTTTGGAATAGCTTTAGCTTTCTTTAACTTTCTCATTTCTTGTTCTGTAGGGCAGAGAAAGCGTGAGAGAGAGAGAGAGAGAGAGAACAGAATGAGAGTCAACACACGCGAACCGATTTGAAGGTTTTGACAGCACTCTTGCAGTTTGCACGCTCATCAAATGACAAAACGAGCTTTGAATACGAGTTGACGCCGCACCCAAAAGATGAAGTGTGATGATTCTGTCGGATTCTGTCCCAACATGTGGCTGTGGCTCAAATAAATGTACCAACATGGCACCTTGGTAAATGGGACCAAAGACTAAAGCTTGCGTAACTTCAGTTCTTGAGTTTTGAGCCATACCCATGTCTTTTCTACCATACCCTCGAATGGCGACCTAACAACTGAAGGTCTTCGGCCCATGGCGCAGCAATGCTCTGCAAGGCAGGGCGTCCAGTTCAGACCGCGTTTTCGTTTTGAAAACTCGCGCGCGAAGCGCGATCAAAATGGAAGCTGGTGAACGGAAGCAGCTGAGAGCCGACAGTCGCAACAGATCGAGGCTTTGCCTTCCAGCCTGAAGAACCTGGCACTGGACTTGCAGATGACGCTGGCTGCCACCTGAGTCACAATCAAAACCCAGGTAGATGAAGGTTAGTAAGGGGCAGTCCCAGCCACAAATAGTTGCGGCCGCCTTTTCAGTTCCTTCTCTGGTTCTGGGTTCACCATTTTTGAACCAATTTGATGACTCACATCGGGTTTGAACGATGCATTCGGCATGCGCTAGTTGGGACTCCGAAGATGGTGCCAAGAGAGTGGACGCACGCGCTTGTGAAGCGGACCGCTCAACACTGATTGTTAATGCGACTTTGGGAAACAAGTATTGCCATGCTCTTTTCTTTTCTCTCTGAGTGTCACCTGCACATATTTTTCTACTTGCCATGCAGATGGATACAGCATCATGGTTGGAAACCTATTTGCCAAGCAAATTGTCCCCCCCCCCCCAAAAAAAAAAAAGAAGGAAAAAAGGGAAAAAGAAAAGAGAGATCGTCTTGCCCAACATTGCCCTAAAAAAAATCAAAAAAAAAGAGACAGAAGAAGCTCTTGCATCGCATGCAGCCCGATGTTTGCTCTCTGACCGTGGGGCCGGAGCGGAGTGCTCGCTCTCCGAGGCCCGGGGATCTGAGCTGCCAGAGGCAGGGGCGGAAAAGGGGGGTGGAGGAGAAAGAAACTCATGGGATGGATGACCCAATGGGGAAGCCACACACATATATATATATATATATGTATATATATATATATAATTATATATATATATATGTATATATATATATACATGAAATATGAAATATGAAATGGAACAATTTGCTCATGGTCATTTGGGGAGGGTTTCGGTTCTTGGAGTGTGGCTTTGACAGAGAGGCGGCCATGTGATTAGGCTGAAACTACACTGCAGTGGCCAGTGGAATTCCTTCGTGCAGCTCGTGAGGCTCTGGCGTCCTTGCCATGCCAGCTGAGTGTTCTGCAGCTCCGGCTCACCGACTTCACCATGAGCCTGGCAGACTTGAGGCGAGAGCAAAATTACTTGGCTTTGTGGAGATTAGGCAGCCACCACGTGGAAGTGGAAAGAGCTATGCTTTGCGACATTTTCTGTAGATTGAGAAGGACACCGCTGAAGCTGGGAGTCTGCGAACCTTGCAGGTCCCTGTCCAATTCCCTTCCGCCGTCCCTCATAGACCTCCGCCAGCGGCCTCAGATGTGCAGCTTTTGCCCTCGGGCCGAGCGCTGTGCGGCACCTCGCCAGACCGTGCGCCAGTTGCGAGGCTTGGACCTTTGTTGCCGCGACGTGGGTGATGAGGGCGCGCGGTTGTTGGCCGACCGGCTGCCGCCAGGCGCAGCGGGGGGCGGAAGGTGGGCAGGCCGCAGCCTAAAGATAAACAGTCAAGGTTCTTCAATGGGCTGAAGCACCGGGGAGGACACCCAAACGAGAACCATCTCTTTACCCCATGGTGTTTCCTTCGCGGATGCTTTTTTTTGGCCATAGCACACTCCTTCGACCCCTCGACCAATGCTACGCGCGGATTTGCGGGGAGGAGAGAATCCCGGGAGGGGGACTCCCAAAGTAGCACCATTGCATTCCATTCAATTATTTTCCGTTCCGTTCCGTTCCGTTCCATACGTACCTACACACATGCACACATGCACACATACACACATACACACGTACACATACACACATAAGATACATAGATACATACAGACAGACATACAGAGTGCAGACATACAGACATACAGACACGCAGACATACAGACAAACAGACATGCAGACATACATACATACATACATACATACATACATACATACATACACCTGCATACAGCTACATACACCTACATATTCTTACATACACGCACACACATACACATACAAATGCACATACACATTCACATAGATTCACACACACGCATACACACGCATACACACGCACATAGATACACACACACATACACCTACACATACACATACACATACACATACACAGACACATGCACATGCACATATACATACACATACACATACATGCACACATACACGCATACGTACACATGCGCATACACATACACACACAGACGCAGACACAACGTGACATAACATTACATACCATAGCATAACATAACATACATATAAGCGCATACATGCACAAGCATACAAGTACACACACACACCTGCAGACGTACGCATACATATACCTGCACATACATACACTTACATGCATCTACATGCACCTATGCACACATGCATCTACATCACACACACAAACATACTCACACGTACACATGCATGCAGGCATGCACGCATGCGTGCACACATGCATGCATGCATGCATGCATACATACATACATACATACATACATACATACAAGCTTACATACATACATACATACATACATGCATACAAGCTTACATACAAGCTTACACACATACATACATACATAGATACAGGCGTACAGACATACAGACAGACAGAGACAGACAGACAGACAGACGTACGTACATACATACACATACATACATACATACATACATACATACATACATACATACATACATACATACATACATACATACATACATACATACATACATACATGACTACATACTTACATACTCGTATGCCGCCGTACTTACATACTAAAATGCTTACATCGTTACATGCATGCATACATACATGTGACATGTATATAGTTGACTTGCCTGCAAGCCGTGCTTGTCACACCCAAGAGCAATCTTGATTAGGATGAAGCGAGCGCAATAGCACCTTGGCAGAGAGACTCGCATGACCTGCAGGCCTCGAGTGCTTGGTGCTTTGTTTGCGGGACTGGCGCTTCTCGGCGTGGGCCTCGCGCGACATTTCTGCGCGGATGAATCGGAGCGGTTTTTTGCTGAGGCGCTGGGGGTACGACTGCTGGCTTCGGCGCTGCCCTCTAGGCTGCGGCCAGGGGCCACGGAGTGATGCTACCTGAAAGACTCACTTTGGTTTGGGTCAAGATTACGCCGCCAAAAAACCGCAGGTTTCGGTCCTTGTTTCCATATACCAGGGTTCCATTTTGGGGTTGCCTTATTTTTGACCCGCACCCACCTGTGGTTGTGAGGGGTGGCTTGCTGAGGCACCTGAAGCTGGCAATCTCCAGCTCCCCGATCAACGCAGGAGGTGTTTGATGCTCAATGCAGTGTTGGCAGAGTGGGCCGAGGCCGTAGACCTTGCAGGCATGCAGCCGTTTTGCTCATGCCGTTTTGTTGGGGACCGCGATTCGAGTGTTACCAGAACGCTCATTTTGGGCGGGCCTCCCCTGCATGCCACCGAACTGTTTGATGGATGTTGGTGCAGCGTCGGCTGGTTTTGCTTGCCGGAGGGCACGACTGGGCCGGGCGTGTGACTAGCGAGATCATCGGCACCTGGAAGCAGAAGCAGCCAGAGCTGCGGATTTTGCGCGCAGATGTCCGGGATCCTCCGGTGAGGGCTTGGATGGGTCAGGAGCTCGACGCTGTGGTGCTGACCGCCCACCGCCGGCGCTTCTTGGACACTTTCGGCGCCGTGTCGGGCGCCTTACGCGGTGGTGGGGTGCTGCTGTTCCAGGTGCCCCCCATGGACCTTTGGCGCCAGGAGCGTTTGGGCGCGCGCTGGTGCCGCCTACTGGAGGACCTCAATAGGACCGACCTGGTGGTGATGTGCCGGGAGGGCCGATCGGTGCCCCCAGACGTGTTTACGCCGCCCCAGGTTCGCGAGGGCAAGTTCCGGGTGGCGCCCAACCAGGAGCAGCGGGAGTTGCTGGACGCCATCCTGCGCATCAAGGCGTCGCGCCCGCTGCTGATTTTTGGGCGCCGCGGCCGCGGGAAGTCGGCCGCTCTGGGCATGGCTGCGGCGGTCTTGCTGCAGAGAACCGGCGGGAGCATCCTGGTCACGTCGCCCTCCAAGGCAGCCACTTCCCAAGCTTTTTGGGCTGCCGAGCAGTTTCTGCCGGAGGCCAGGCGCGTTGGAACTCACAAGCTGAGATTTGGGAAGTATGGCACCATGGAGTTCGTGGAGCCAAAGCTGCTTCAGCGGCGCAACCTGAAGGAGTCCTTCCTGATTGTGGATGAGGCTGACAACCACTTGTTTGGTCGCACAGTTTGAACAGCATGAAGGGAGTTGGTTATCAGACCTGGAGGTTTAGAACCATGCAGAGCTTCAATGCCTGTTGCATGGACACGAATGCCTTTGAATTTTAACTGGAGCCCCCTGAAAAGTGGTTCCACTGAAGGGTCCCCCATAAAGATTCCCTGCCGAAAGGAAGGCATGGCTGGCCCCCCATTTCTTTTAGCCCCATCTCGTTTGCGATCTTGCAAGGGCGTCAGGGGAAGGATAATGCATGCCTTTGCCCAGCATTTGCCTTTGTACTCTGGGCTCCTTGAGTCCGGCACAGGTTGGGCCTCATTGAAGCAGGCACCTCATTCTGTTTGAAGTTCAGCAGATAGGTAAGAAAGGAACAACGGAAGGGAGAGCCTTTTCAACCAAAGACAGCTTCATCCAAGCACACGCGCACGAGCTACAGATGATCAGTTGCGAAAGCCAGCACCCAGTTGCAGTGTAATTTGTGCTTGCTTGTGGAAGTCTTCAAAAGACAGCTCCTCTTGTCACCTGTTGCAAAGAATCCTCGGCACGTGAGTGGCAAGTGAGCCACAATCACAACCCGGGTAGATGAAGGCTAAGGGATACTCCATCAATAGCTGCGGCCTTCTCAATTCATTACATTCTGGGACGACCATTTTAATTTCCCGGGTTTTGACTACTCAACCGCCTTCTTTTTTTTTGCGTTCGGGCAGAACCCTCCAGACCTCCAGGCCGCTGGGTTCCCCGTGAGCTTCCTGGGGGACTTGCTGCAATCGGGCCGTGTACTTCTGGCCACCACTCTGGACGGCCCGGTTGAAAGGGCGGCTCAGGGCGAAGAGAGTTGAGGGTCGACCTTTCTCTTTGCTCCACAAGAAAAGATGGCTAGGGCAGAGAACAGCAACCCAACTCCAGATTATCTAGGATCAGGAGATCAAGAGGCAGCCTAGGCCCAATCCAGCGGTGTGGTTCTGGGTAGCACGCGGGCGATTTCCCATCAGCCAGTCACTTGTTTCGGTGGCTCTTGGTAGACAGTTCTATAGCTCTCGGCAGTTGCCTGGGGTCTCGGGGTACAACGGCCCTTGACAAATGCCTGGGCCGTATTGCAAGTATCTCCCAGTTCGGCTGTCTGGGTTGGCTGCGTGCGTGCCTGTGTTCCTGTATCGCACTCCTTTGTTTTCCAGGTAACTCATTTGCTTCCCACTTCAGTTGGTCTACGTTGGCCAAGAAGACGTGTTTCGGCTCGCCTTTGCACGCAGCGCGCAGTGGTTTGCGCCGCGTGCAATCCCAGCGCGACGCACTCCGCAGTAGCTCGGGCACAGCGGCGCGTTCACACTGGCTTGATACGCTGAAGGTTGCTTCATACACGTTGGCCTGGCATTTGTGCGACCTACCCAGCCATGGGCGGGCGGGCATGTTCATCCCAAAAGACTGCACTTTTGGCTCCCCTTTGCATGATGTCTGCAAGGTGGAACTCTATACCTGTATATGGAATGGCTCTTTGCGATGTTGCGGCGTCACATCCTTACTTGCAATCTTGTCCTGCAATTTCATGCTTTCTCTACATGCTTCGCGAAAGCGACCATATCTTGCTACATAGATTACATAGATGTGGCCGTGGGTCAAAACAAGTGGTACCATTTTGGGGTAGGTGCACCACCCATTTTGGGCTATTTTAGTGGGGATTGGCATGTTCACTGGGGGATAACCGGGCTTTTGACCCATGGCCATGTTATATCATGCCCTTCGGGTGTCAGAGCACCGGTCTACTGCTTCCAAGAACTGATAGGTGCTGACCTGGGTCCAGGCACAACATAGGGCGACAACCCCTGTGTAGTCCCGGCCCGCGCGCGCGAGACGCGCCCGAGACCCGCAGGCTACGAAGGCAGCGGCAACGGCTTCCTGGTGCGCGGGGTGCCGCGGCTGCGGCGGGCGAAAAGCGGGCTGCAGCTGCGGGAGCTGCGGAGCTCCTGGCGGTGGACCGAGGGCTGTCCGTTGGAGGCACGGAGAAAAAAGGAAAACACGAGGAGAAGGGATGGACATTTTTTTGGGCACCTTTTTTTTTCCTTTTTTTTCTGGTACTGTTTTTTTCCCGAAAGCATGGCGAAGGGTTCTTCCGCTGGGTTCACTTGAGTTGTTCTCATGAGAGTCATTACAAGGTGTCATTGCAAGGAATCATCATCATGAAAGTCAATGCAAGGAGTCATTGCAAGGAGTCATTGCAAGGAGTCATTGCAAGGAGTCATTGCAAGGAGTCATTGCAAGGAGTCATTGCAAGGAGTCATTGCAAGGAGTCATTGCAAGGAGTCATTGCAAGGAGTCATTGCAAGGAGTCATTGCAAGGAGTCATTGCAAGGAGTCATTGCAAGGAGTCATTGCAAGGAGTCATTGCAAGGAGTCATTGCAAGGAGTCATTGCAAGGAGTCATTGCAAGGAGTCATTGCAAGGAGTCATTGCAAGGAGTCATGAGAGTCATTGCGAGCTGCGCATGGAGTCAAGTGCAAGTTGCAAGTGCAAGGAGTCAAGTGCAAGTTGCAAGTGCAAGGAGTCAGGTGCAAGTTGCAAGTGCATGGAGTCAAGTGCAAGTTGCAAGTGCAGGAGTCAAGTGCAAGTTGCAAGTGCAAGGAGTCAAGTGCAATTGACTTGCGAGGAGTTAAAATCTCTTCTTAGGGCGGCGGGGTAGTGCCGACGACACTACACGAAAATCGACCCTCTGCGGGGATCGGCGTGGTCGAGGTGCAAAAACCCATGGTTTTTTTTGCGATTTCTGCGGTGCTCGCGCGACCCTCTGCGGGGATCGGCGTGGTCGAGGTGCAAAAACCCATGGTTTTTTGCGATTTCTAAAGTTCCCGCGCGACCCTCTGCGGGGATCGGCGTGGTCGAGGTGCAAAAACCCATGTTTTTTTTTCGATTTCTGCGGTGCTCGCGCGACCCTCTGCGGGGATCGGCGCGGTCGAGGTGCAAAAACCCACCCTCTGCGGGGATCGGCGTGGTCGAGGTGCAAAACCCATGGTTTTTTGCGACTTTTGTTGTTCGAACTGGTCCTCGGGAGTTGTCGTGCCTGCGGGTCGCGGGTTCGATTCCTCCCTGGTCCGCGGGCGGGCGTCGCAAGATGCAACTTGCATTTTAAATCAACTTGCGCAGAGCAACTTGCGCAGAGCAAGTTGCACAGAGCAACTTGCGCAGACCAACTTGCACCGACCAGTTTGCGCAGAGCGCCTTGCCTAGAGCAACTTGCGCAGAGCAACTTACGCAGAGCAACTTGCACAGAGCAACTTGCACAGAGCAGCTTGCACAGAGCAACTTGCAGGGAGCGCAATTTGCACAGAGCAACTTGCAGGGACCAACTTGCCGGAGCAACTTGCGCGGAGCAACTTGCGCAGAGCAACTTGCACAGTGCAACTTGCGTAGAGCAACTTGCGCAGACCAACTTGCACCGACCAGTTTGCGCAGAGCACCTTGCCTGGTGCTGTCTCGCGCTTGCTTCACAAATGCTTCGTGGAGGGAAAAAGAACGCATCCTGCAGCGTTGGGCCGACCTCACTTGCGATGTTATGCTTTCGGGCCAGCCGTGGTCTAGTTTTGTTTCTCAAAGTTGGGGCCTTTTTTTTAATACTTTTTGGGCAGAAGGTTTTTTTCTTCCTGAGATTGGGGACCAATTCCTTTGGGTAGGTGGTCTTCTTTTGATGTCGGGGTCCCCTGATGGAGAACCCCCCCCCAGAATACGAAAAAACATTGGCGGCATGGTTTGCCGCTTTTTTCAGCAGCGGCCAGGAGGAATAGGGGTGTGTGAGCCGAACTAGACTTCCCGAAGTTGAGCTGGAGCAGTGGCACTTGGGAATGAATGAATGCAGTACGGGTTGGAATAGACTCCCTTTGAACGGTGGAAAAGGCGCAAGAGTGAGCTGCAGTTCAGCAAGTTTGATCGGAATTAGTCTTGCTCGTGCGATTGACAGGGAATGAGTTGGAATGAGCCTTGTAAACCATCCCTTGTGGTATGGTTTCCTTTTAGGGGAACCCTGGGTTCATTGTCCCACATTCCAGTAATTCAATAAGAAGGTGGTTTCTGATCTTTGAGAAGTACTCCAGAACGGTTTGGGGCGTTCCTTCAGGCCTTGTCACGCGCTGCCCTGCTGTTGGATGCGGCCCCTGTTGCGGTGGACGCTGGCGAGGTGGGGGAAATCACACGATGCGCAGCGGTGGAAGAGGTGGAGCGAAGCGCTTTTGCAAACGCTGAGACGCAACTGAAAGAGCTCTATGGCCTATTACGCGTGGGCCACTACAAGACCAAGCCTTCAGATTTGGAAACCTTCCTGGATGCTGCCGGGATCATTTGGTTGGGCTTGAGGCACCACCACAAGTTCGTTGGCATCACCATCTCTGGCATTGAGGAGCCCGTGCATGGCGAGCGCGCCCAGCTCCTTTGGTTGGCCCGGTGCCAAGTTCCCCAGAACCTCACGGCGCAGACGCTGGCGCGGGATGCTGGCGTGCTGGAGGCTTCCGAGCTCCGCTATGCGCGGATGATGCGGTGGTGCCTGCACCCAGCCCTGCGGGGTTGCGGCCTGGGCGAGCGCCTGCTGTCGCAGAGCCTGGAGATTCTGCGACGCAAGCGGAAGGCGCGTGAGGTGGATGCGGTGGCGGCCCACTTTGGCGCCACGGCCTGGCTCATGAAGCTGTGGCTGAGGCATGGCGCGCGGGTGGTCTTCGTGTCTCACGGCTGTGACCCCAGCAGCGGGCAGCACAGCGTGAGCGTACTCATCCCGCTCAGCGAGGCAGCGGAGCGAGTGACCCGACAGCTGCAAGCAAAACTGCTGGCCGAGATCTCGGAGCTGCTGGTGGGGCCTTTGGCAGATGTAGAGGGCGAGGCGGTGAAAGAGTTGCTGATGGCGCTGGGGAGTCACCATGAAAGTTGCTTGCAGGACCATGCTGATGTTTGGAGCTATGGATGGGGGGCGCGCAGCCTTTCACACTGCCGGCCGGCCCTGCGAAGAATGGTGCTGCGATCCTTTCAATGTGGACGGACTGTGTATTTGCAGAAGAGAGAGGAGCAGCTGCTGCTGGATTTGCTGCAGGGCAGACCCATCCTGAGTGAAGATCAGCTTCGCAGAGTGGTACGGATGATGCTGTCAACCAGCCTGCCTGGCAAAGGCAAGCGAACAAGATAGCAGCCTAGGGTGAGGGCAGTCGTCGGAGCGTTCAACTCCGTATTTTGTTCTTTGAACTCTTGTGCAAGCATGACGCTTGAAGAAAGTGCAACTCCAGCATATTAAGCATAATAGTCGAAACAGGCATGAGGGCGTTCACATGTCGTCTGAGTGAATGCTCATTTCAAACAATATTTGTTAGTTCTTGGAGACTAAAGACACATCTCCTAGCAGCCAGCTTAGGCATCGATTTTGTCGAAATTCGACCTTGGTTTGACGGAACATGTCATGTGTTTTCGCACATGCCGAGGTGATATTGGTCCCTCGCGGCTTGCGGTCCAGTTTCTGGTCCAAAACCAATGGGATCCCATTTTGGGGTAGGTGCACCACCCATTTTAGAGCCTATTTTAGTGGGGATCGGGGTGTTGGAAGCGGAAAAACACAAAGCACAACAGCATGTGCTGTGACTGCAATGACTGAGGGAGGAAAAATACATGATGTTGACAAACAATGCATTGTACTTGTGTTTGCTTGCCTTCTCCGGTCGTGCCGAGCGATTTCTTTGCGAACGACAACCTGCAGGCAGTGTCGCCGCACGTGGAGAAACAACTATGCTCATGGAAAGCCTACAGCCAAGAGCCACACCTTGCAAACATGCCACGCAAACAGGAAAGGTTAAGAATTTGGCAAAAGCTGCCAGATCCTTGCCCGCACGCTTCAAAGAAATGATGGTATGGCTTATTCAGCCAGACAACATTGCCGCGAAGCTAATCTTTTGCTCATCGACGTGTTTTGCATGCTCGCATGACATGCTGAAGTTTGGCATGAAAGAGAAAACAGTTCACGCAGTTCAGCCCAAGAAATCCCTTTGTGTTGCGCGTGCCCCACACTCTGCCAAGCTTGCGGAGGGCAATATTCCCAGAAGACAAGCAGTTTGCGCTGAGCATGATCCCCTCTTGCAGGGTCATAAAACAAACACGGGCAAAAGAGTCCGGAGATGGCACAGCTGGCTGCGCCTCTTCTAACACCCACCTCTCAGCAAATCCTTCTTGAATGGGGTGAGACATGTCAGCCTTCATGTTTTCCGGGGCATGCTGAATTTCCGGGGCATGCTGAATTTCGGGGGCATGCTGAATACAGAAGCTTCCTGGATCCCTTGCACATGGACATTTTTCATGCCTGAGGCCAGGGCGCTCGTGTCACACCTTCCTACGAAGCTGGGCCGCTTGAACATCTTGCTCAGGCGAGTGGGAGAATAGGAGCGGGAAGACATCGTTGAATGGGTGAGGCATGTTGAAGATGAAGTCAAAAACGCCCCTGCGGGGCAAGGGACATGACTTGCAACCATACTCCTTCACCTGGTCAGGCATTGCAGCCTGGGGCGGGATGGCGAGCAAGCTTTGCGACCGCTGGCCAGAAGGCCCATGGGCAATGTGGGGTTGATGCTTGATGGCAGAGCCACAAGGAGTCTTGCGAGATGCTGCGTGTGCTTCGAAGATTTTAGTGCCTCTTTATGCCCACGTTTGCCTCCTGTTCCTGTTTTTTCCGAGACTGCTGCTTCCCATTCAGTTTCCTTGTGTCTGGTGGCCCATGTCATGCGCGTTGGCTCTCACTTGGTCCTAAGACGTGTCAGTGTGCACGCCTCGAAGTCGTGGGCGTTGGCAGCCAGCGATGGATTCGATTCGAATCGTGAAGATGCCAACGAGTGCTTTGGCGGAGGCAAGCAGACAACACTGCTTTACATAGTTGGAATGATATAGTATGTGCACATATTATGTACATGCATATGTGACATATATATATATATATAGACAGATTGGCATTGAATGACCACAGCATCACCGAAGTCTCCCAACGCCCGATCAGACGCTGTTTCAGAGGTGGAATTCTGTTCCACAGAGCTGGGTGAGAGTCTACGAGAAGACCATGGTGAGCATGGCCTGGACCTCAGCGAAACACAAAACACCCGCCTTCGTGCCTTTATGGGGCCTGGGGGGGAGGGAGGGGAGGGGGAGGGAGCCCAAATAAACCCTAAATAAGGGCTTAACAAGGGCTTATGCTCCCTCCCCCCCCCCTCCCTCCCCCCCAGGCCCCATGATGCCTTCGTGCCTTCGGGGTAGAATTCCATGGCGATTATTTGCCAGCAGAAAGTGGAAAGATGCATTGCTTTTGCGAAGTCGCGGCTGTTGTAAGACTTAGACTCAATCTGAGGGCCTGCGACATTGCGGCGAGTGGGACCTCTGGGACTGATCCCGCAAAAAAGCGCAGCACGCCCGTTGAGGCATTTGGGTTGAACAACATCACATGCTGCATCTCTCAGTTTTGGCCTGCCAGATAATAATTTTGTGAGTGGGCAAAGTGAGTTGTTAGCCTGCCATGTGAGTTGATACGGATACGTCTCGCACGTTCAGCTTGCAAAGCTCAAGCCTGAACAGGGTTTGGCAGGCACACTGCAACTCAGGAGAGGCTTGCTTTAGGTCATGGGACACCATGCGCTTGCTTTTCTACCTCGGTGCGTGCCATTCCCAATGACCGCGATGACCACTCAATCAGAACATGACTCCGGAGCCCAGCCACATCAAGTTGTAGGGATTGAGACCTTTCCGCACCATCGCTGGCGCCATGCTGCCTTCCTCGCGACCGAGTGTCTGCCGGGCACGTTGTCAGCCTCAGAATGTGTTTTCCTGCCCCAGTGGAAGCCAGTGCAGCAATGCGGACAACTGAGCATGCTGATTTCGAGGGTGCACCAGAAGCGTGATTTTAAACACTTTGCCATCACTTGAACGTTTGAACAGATGCCTTGTGTTGCAGGGCAAGATGGTCTCACAAAGGACCGAGAGACCAGCAATCAAGGAGACGTTTGTGTTCCTGACATGTAGGTCTGGGCTGGGTCGCTTGTCTTATGCCTCGTCTGGGTCCCAACTTTTGGCTGCATAAACCCTACCCCAACATTGCAGCCTGAACTCACCGCAAGCCAAACCCAAAGCATCCAAAGCCTCCATCAGCTACGCCCTCAAGCTGCCCGGAAGCTCCAGATCCAGAGCAAGAAACTAGCTCCTCCCCAATCTCATGCAGCAGCCCCAAGCCAAAGAAAGCTCCCATTTTTTAACCAAGTCATGGTCGCTTGCTGCACAGTTAGTACTTGACACAGGTTTCATCGGGATGCCCCCATGCCTCTTGGAGCACTCTGTGCCAGGCCTGTCCTGCCTGGCCGCCGCCGGAATTCTTGCCGCAGCGAGCAACTCACGGGACACTGGCAGCAGCCGCCATGTGGCGTTGACGCTTCAAGTTGGGGTTGCTTTGCTTGAGGCCAGGAGCTGTCAGCTCTACTGCGACCCGCGCTTATTTAGGCTAACTAGGGTCGGGGCAGTTGAGAGTGGATTGGGATGGCGTTGGGTTTGGGTCGTTTGCACCAGGAGCAGAACCAGAAAACGTGCGGCTTGCACTCGAATTGGATGACTCGGCCAAGGCCCTGGTCCTTTTTGGACTTGACGGCTCCCATCAGGTTGGTGTCTCGAAAAAAATGGTTTGGCAAGCAAAACGCCACGCCTGCAGGTCTCAAGTTTGTTTCAACCTGGTCGGGGACCTCTTGTGCTACAGTGGCGCCAACGAGGTGAGACGGGTATGGGTCAAAATAAAACCACCAGGGCCGCAGGTTTTAGTCTTTGGGTCCATTTACCAGGGTTCCATGTAGGGTAAATATTTTTGACCCAGATGTTCGTGGCAGCACACAAAGCTTGGACTTCAGCTTTGCAGGTGAACCTGCAGCTGAGCATTGTCCGTTCAACATGTCCGCAACTCATGGGGCTCGAGAGTGCGCTTGATTCGGTTACACCTGTTGTGAGCTCAGGCAGGGAGCTTCGTGATCAGATTGATGAAGAGCCAGGGCCTTCTTCCCGCGCGAACGCGCTAAGGCCGCGCGTGGGGGTCGTGGAGCAGCATGCCTTAGACCCAGGTGCTTGACATTCAACTACGATGACACCTGCGGCTGGGGTCCATCGCTCGGAGATGGCTGCAGTGGGCTGCAGTGAAACGGCAGATTCAGAGGAATGGCGTAGTGAAAGACTGTTGTTCAAGGCAAACCTCTGATGGTTCCAAACAGGGACTCAACAGTTCATCAAAGCTTATGATGTTTAGCACCGATCTGGGCGGCAGGCGGTTCAATTGCTCTGATCGACCGACCCAGGCAGTGGGCCCTCTCGCGACCTCGACGAGATTCAGCTGCTGAATAACAGGACATACCTTACCCGCACGGCGTGCACGGCATGCACGGCATGCACGGCATGCACCGGGTACGACATGCACGCAATGCAGACTTCGAATTCAGGATCAAGCGTCATCCTCGGCTGAAATACTTCGAGTGCCTCATTCGAAGTGTAGGGGCCCAGGTGTTTCAGAACGAAAAACCCAAGTTGGAAAGCCTTTGAAGCCAATGCTCCCAGCCACCTGCGGCGAGGCTGCCAAATTCCGAATGCTTCTCGAGGACTGGTGCGTGGGAGAGAACAACACTGAGACTGGAGGGTTGATGGCCAGGTTTGGGCTGCGCGCGCAAACGCCTTTCCCGACTTTGCCTTTGATACCAGATGCCAGGGACCAGTCAGTACAGTAATCACACAATTCGAAGTGTCAGCAAACATCAGGGTGCACTGGTTGCACTGGGGATTCAGTGTTGTTCAATCAGTGGAGTGAACAGTGATGGAGTCTGTTGCTTCAAGAGCGAGAAGCAGTGCAGGAGCTGCAGCTACCACCACAAACGCGCTGCAGCTTTGTTTTCGAGTTTAAGGCGGCCGGGCTGGAGATTCAAAGTTTACAAAGGACAGAGCCTTCGACTTCTCAGAGCCTTGTTGTTGATGTGCTGTGTCGTTGGGACAGAGACACCTCCGGTTTTTGCCGAGCATTCAGTGGAGTTGATAAAAGGACATCGACAACCGCGAACAGCAAAGTGGAGCGGCAGTAGCCTTTCAATGCTGGGTCAATTTGGTCCTTGAACCCGTCGCAGCCGGGTTTTTTTGAAGACGACAGGTCAGCGCCCAGTACGCGGAGCAGCTGCTGAAGCGCTTTTGTGCCTGGAAGCTCACTGATGGGCTTTGAGTTGGTAGGGCGAAAGGGGGCGCTTGCATAGGTGAGTCCGGCCCGGTTACCAGGAACTGCCGCCTTGCAGCCCGATGAACACCAGTAGACTATTTTGATCAAGCAAGGCACACCCGGCCCAGCCGAGCTTTGCTGACCTGTTCGCATTCCTCCACTGGTTAGATTTGGTCTTTCAGAAGCAGACACGCGGACACACAAGCACGTTCTTCAAGCTTGGGCACTTTGAAAGCATGGCAGACAAGGTTCGACGACTCTCGCTCATGCCCGAGGAGGACTCTTGCCAGCTAGCTTGGGGAGCCTTGTGACTGTTTGCACACATTGTGTTGCTTGGCGTGAGTGTAAGAATGCCACCGAAGTGGGTCAAGTACTTTGTAATCGTGCAACGTCAAGCCATTTTGATAGCATGGCCACAACTTTTTCTTCGCGCACGGTTTGTTTGGTTGAAGGATGCGCAGGGGACAGCTTCTCGCATTTGGAAGGTGGCCGGCTCGGGGAGGTTATGCAACTGTTGACGAGCTTTTCCAACACTGGGCAGAGCCAAAGTGAAGACCTTCTTGCCATGTGCCATTCGTAGGCAAAATTATCGTTTTGACCCATCACGTCTTTTGATGCCCAGCGTAGATGCACTGAACGCTGGTGCTTTTGCCGTCGCAGCTGATATTGTTTGCCTCCTTGCACAAAACACCGACACCTAGAGCGTCCTGGCAAGTGCGCTGAGGCTTTGCCCGACGCCAGTTTGCAAGTACTTTGCTTGCGGAGGCCAGACAGGGTTGCAGGTTTTGTCGAATTGTTGTTTAATTTCAGTCTTTTTGTCTTCGTTTCTGTCTTTTTCTTTGTCTTCGTCCCTTTCTCTCTCTCTCTCTGCTTGAGTCCCCAGAGTCATCCCCGTCCGAGTGCAGATGTTTGCTTTCGCGTCCGGGTTCGTGCCCGTGTGCATGCATGTCTGTCCATATCGCACTGATTTGTGTGTACGCGCCCCGTTCATGTCGTCTGCATCGGTTCGCCTTGCGATGCCCTGCCAGTTGCTCGGACGAGATCGTGAAGTCCTTCTTTTCTGTGAGCCCAAAGCTGCGAAGCCTTCAGGTGGCCGGTGGCTTAGAGCCGAAGCATGATCGCCTCTCGCCTGCAAGCAAGCAGGAGCCGGCTCAGGTGGACAGCCGCCTGCAAGGAATCCCCAACAACATTTGTGAGCGCCTCAACAGCCTCAGTCTCACCGGGGCACGCCCGTCGAGCTTTTTCCCTGCTGCTGAAAAATCCGCGTGCGCGTGTGATGCCAGATTACCAATCTGCCGGACGAGCAGCTTTCGAAGCTGATCGCGGCATGCCGGAACCTCCGGCAGGGTTCTTAGTTTGCCCTTCATCGTTTGTTCTAAAAGCACGGGACGACAGAGTCGGACTTTGACTGACAAAGAACTTTCTGGCAATCATGTTAGTGCGCAGAGAGCGTTGCTCCTCCTCAGCTCGGCATTGAGCGGGTAGCCCGGACACTGTGCCCCGATTTGTGTTAGTGAGTAGAGAAAGTGTGCCGCACTTTGACTTAGAGCCGAGCGATGTGGTGCTTTCTTACATCCGGCTGGGGCTGGCGGCCTGAGGTCTTTGTACATCGCCAAGTGCCACATCTCCCACGTCTCCTTCGCTTTGCCCCAGCTGGAGCTTCTTTCGGCTTGGCGCTCATTTCGCGATTCTCGTTAGGAAGGGCACAGGCCAGGAGAGGACGTTCCACGCAGCTGAGTGGCATTTTCTACAACGCTGCCGAAATGGACGAGTGAAGAAAGGGCGTGGCTGTTGATGGGGAGCGTTTCCAAAGCGGTTTGCCGCCATAAATCCGTGCCGAAATGATGTCCACCAGAGGGTTCCGAAGCAAACTTGAGTCCCATCAGTATGGCACTATGCTTAGAAGAGCCAGAATCGGAGACACCAGGGCCAGGAGGGAAGGTCCAATACAAGCGTCGTCTCTGAAATCTGAAATCGCCTGGGCCCGACTTTGGTTCCTTGACCAAGGTGACACACTGCCGGCAACTCACGGAGCGCTGGGAGTGGGCAGAACCTTTGAGATGCCACGAGTTTGACGCGCAAAGTCGGGCTGGTCTGAGCTGAAGCCTTTTGGAAGCGAGCGCTTCCGAGTGACAGGGGTACAAGGCCGCTTGGCCGCTTGCGCCAGGATCAGTGTGCCACGGAAATTCTCTCCCCGGCAAACAATCCTCGTGCCTCTCTCAGCGCCAATGTGCCTGTTCTTGCGCAAGGTATTTGCATCTTTCCTGGATCGCCAAGTTCCGCAGTTGCAGGGGGAAAACACTTCTGACAGTCTCAGCTTCAGACGCGGGCCAAGGCCTGCGCTTCGTGGACCTGTCTGAGTGCAGAAGCCTCACGGCTCCCACCGCCCGGAGCTGAAAACATTGGAGCATGGAGCCAAACTCGTCGCCAATCGCGCTGGGTGTCTTTTGAGGGGACCTCCCAGATTTTTGTTTTTTTTTGGATTTGGTTTTCCTTTTTGAAACCCACCAAAAGAAGGGTTACACTCAGAAAAAGACACGCAGCTGGAATCTCTCTTGCGAGTCATGGGGACAGTGACACAATGCCGTGATACATGAGTCTTTGCGTGCTTGCGGCCGTCCAAGAAATTGGACTTCGGAAGATGACATTTCCTCTATCGGGGAATTGTACACCCCCCTTGTAGGCTCGACTCCCCTGGATCACCCGCTCTGCTACACTATTTGGCTGTGGGTCAAAAATGGGGAAACCCCAAAATGGCACCCTGGTAAATGGAATCAATGACTAAAACCTGTGGTTCGCTGGTGGTTTAATTTTGACCCATACCCATTTATGCTTTTTCTTCTCTGCGCTCTTGTGCCCAGTCTTCGCTCCGCTCTTTTCTCTGCCCTTCGCTCTGCTCTTCTCTCTGCTCTTCTCTCTGCTCTTCTCTCTGCTCTTCTCTCCGCTTTTCTCTCCGCTCTTCTCTCCGCTCTTCTCTCCGCAATCCTCTGCGCAATCTCCACCGCGCTCTTCAAAGTTATGCGCTCTGTGTTGTATTCTGCCCGCGTGTGTTGCGCATCGTTCCTTGATCACTTCCGTATCAAGGAACTACCTCGGACGCAGGGCTTGTCGAGTATCTTTGGTCATAGCTCTTTTCCCCTGGCAACCCCTGAAAGTGAGCGGAAGCTACGTGTCGACCTTGCGCAGACGCTAGCTTTCGTTTGCCTCCCCTGGCCTCAAGTGAAGCGGTACAAAGCGGCACATGTCTGGCACCAAGGTCCACTTCCATACTCTTGGCAAACTGACTACTGGCATCGAACGAAACTCTCAAGAGAACGTGCAGGAGGAGTGTTGCAGCACAAGCAGCTTAAGATGTTTGAGAATTACTCCATTATTGGCGCTGGTTGTGGTGGAGGGGTTGCATACTTGCATCCGGCATTGAAATGTGGTTCAGAAATGGCTTACAGGGTGTGCAGCGTATTCCCGAACTTCTCAAATTGTGCTTTGCAGTGACACGGCAAAGAGATAGGTGCAAGGGTGGTTGGAAGAGAACAACCACATGAACAAATGGATCAAGGGACATCACCATCACGCAGCAGAAAATCATACGGAAAAGAGGCAGTGCGACAAATTGCCGTCGAAGTGAAACTTATTCATATTTTTCAATCACATTGGCAGATTCCTTGGAGAGCTCACAGTGATCCTGGTCGACAATGCTTGACGATGCGACCTGCCGTTGATGCCCAGGTCGAGCATCCTGAATTGGAGATAGCTTGGCTGATGCATTGCCCACAATTAACTGGGCAGGCGCGGGCAGCTCTGACACAGTTATTTTTTGTTTTTAACAAAAGCTCCGGCTTTACTCGTTTTTGCAGATGTGAAGGCCCTGAAGGCATTCCCACGAACATTTGGTTGGCTGCAGGCAGTGTCTGCAATGCCCATGCCTTAGTGCCTTAGTCTTTGCGCAATAAGCTCCCCCAATTTGAGTACGCCGTTTGGCCTTACCGAAGCCGTAGCAAGTCTTTGAGGTTCCGGGCTTGCACATCTTTGACAGCTGTCAACCTGGTGCTGGAGCCCAGCGGGGAACGGACGCCTCCATCCGCTTTCTTTCGCATCCCAAGGTGGAGGAAACCCAAGGTCTGACCTCACTCTGCCATGACTTGGCGTTTCCACCAGAAGCATGATAGCAAGCAAGCAAGACATTCATATTGCTATAAAGAAGAACATCTTGGAAAGAGTTGCACTGTTGGAGCAACCAGCATGATGGTTTTGGAGGTGCTTGGGTTTTCACGTAGGCTCTGCTGTTGTTTGGGCGTAACTCAGCTTTTCGGTTCAAGTCTGGTATGCCAGCCGGGCTTCTCCGCATTGCTGGCCTGCTTGGGTTTGTGGGCTTGCAAACAACTTGTGTTGCTCGGGTGCCCGACACTTCAGGGCACTTAGGGAGCTCAAACACTCGCAAATGGTTCTGTCATGGCAGGTGCTAACGGCCGGCAAATGGCGTGGTTAGCATGGTGCAGCTGGGCACTCGGATTTGCTTCGGTCTTTGTGAATGTGCTTGGAGAGGCTCTCGCCAGATACCAAAGGACATGAACGAGTAACGTTGAGAACAGTCCTACTGCCCTACCTTGCTTCAGCTAGCTTTAGCTAGCTGTAGTCTTTACTGGCGTAAACAGGTGCATGGGCTGAATTGGTTCTATCAATAATTCATCAATCAGTTGGACCGAGATAACTCCCTTCTCCAAGACAAACCAGGAAAACAGGGAAAAGCGCGTCCAGGTCGTTGGTTCGATTCCCCCTGCACCACCAACCCCCTAAAGACGTGGCTTAGGCTTCCATGCAGGTGGCATGGCCTAGGCACTTCTCTTGGATCACGCACAAATGCGCAGGGTGAAATCTTCACTCCTTGATTTATCCAACTCGGTGGAGGTAATGTGTAGTAGCACAGTCCCTTCCCCAAATGCGCTTGCATTCCCGGGCGCGCTTCGGCCCGAAACAGCCCCTGACTGCCTCAAGTTGGCTTGTCTCTGCAAGGTCTTTTGCTTCTCCGGTGTGGAGCCAGCTACGTTCCTTTTGCTGATGTCGAGGCGTGGCACCTGGCTGACATTCCGGTTCAGCAAGTTAAGACTGGGCTTGTTGAAATGACCGCCAAGCCGCGGGTCAAGAATAGGTACCCAAAATGGAACCCAGGTAAATGGAACCAAAAACTAAAACAATTCCCCTGGTGGTTTAGTTTTGACCCATACCCATATGACCCCCCAAGCCGCGGTTCTGACCGCACAGTCTTTCGCTCGAAACGGGGTTGAACATGTTGAAAACGCACGCAGGAGCTGAAGCCGACTCGGCTGCACGAGCACTGTGCAGAAGCTGATGAGGAGCGACTTGCCTGTGTGGACACATGCACGGCTCTTGCGGGGAACCCTGGTAAATGGAAACATGGTCTAAAACCTGCGGTCCAATTCCTGGTGGTTTGATTTTGACCCATACCCAAATAGCGAGTGGGAGAAGAACATGCCCTGTCTTCATAGCCAGGCAGGACACAGATGGTGCTCAAGATCTGTCAAGAAGCGGCTGGAGGAGTTCGTTGCGCGAACGGGTATGTTGAGTGTGACGAGTACTGAGCGCCCATCCGGTTCTCTTGGTGGTTCCCGGCCATGCCATTAGCTTTTCAGGCTTTTAGTGTTTAGTGGGGATGTCCATTTAACCCACTAAAAGTTAAACTTTTAGCGGGGGATCTGAGGACAGCCCAGTTCCGTGTGCATCTTCATGGCAGCACAATGATAGACTCCATGATGCTTCATTTGCCAGGACGGAGGTGACATAGAGCTGACCTGGAAAATGCACATCAATCCGGACAGAATCCTTTCCCTCGACACAGAGGTCTGGCCCTAAGTGGAAATGCCAGAGGGTAGGATCATTAGTGCCTGCTCCACGGGTTCCAGAAGCTTTCTCTGTGAAGGATCCCTCAAGAATCATTAAGCTTAGCCTTGCCCCAATCTCAGGGATGCGGCTAAGGCAGAGCACGGTGTGCGTGTTGCTAGATGCCACCCTGGAGAGATGCGGCCTCAGATACTCTTGCGGGCTCAGTCGCATCGGCCTCGTGAGGCAGCTACTGAACCCTTGTGACGGACGGAAAGTCTTAAAGTGCCTGACTGAAGCTTCCCGCCACACGCTCGTTAAGCCGCATGAAAGTTAGTAAAGGTGCTGCCCTAGTTGCACGAAAGGAACACACGGGGCCGGGAAGTCTTCGAGCAAGCTTGGGGAGAAAGGTGCGAGCAACACATGATCGCGAAAGGGGCGGTGAAAGGCCGATGTTGGTAGACCACAACGTCCTGCACATAGTACATGCTGGGTTCAGGACAGTGCTTGCATGCGAAAGCTTCGCGAAACGTCAGGCCCCAGCCCACAGGAAGGTCAGCTTTGAGGTAAAGGCCGAAAACCTCAAGTGGTCTGAGTTCGCCTGTGCACGGCTCAGATTTTTCCCCGAATGCGTAGCAGAAGGGTTCCCGTTATAGACAGGGCGGCCTGGGGTCAGCATGTGTTCGCGAGATGCGCCCGCGAGCGTCCGCATCCTTCGTAAGTGTTGGCAAGCGGTCGCCAGCATTCGCAAGCCTTGCCGTTGGGCAAAGCTCAGAATGTACCAACTTGTACGATTTGCAGCATGTTGTTTTCCTCGCGACTGCGCAAGCGTAGCTTTTTGTGAGGTTTGCGTCTTAGGGGTGGTCATTTGGAGGTGTCTTGCTTGGCAGGCGCGTGCAAGCGTTTGCGCAAGTGTCATGTCCGTTGACCCTGTCGCGCCACCGGCTTGTTTGCTTTGTCAAAATCGGTCAAACGCGTCTTTCGCCGCGGTCTCGTGCTAACTCCTGACACGCGGGAAACGCGTCAAAGTTGGATTTCGTGACAGGCGCAGTACTCTGAGCGCTTTTTGCCTCGTCTGCAGCTCGCTTTGCGTGACAGGCGCAACGCTTTGGAGCGCTGTGATCAATTTTTGTTTCAGGCGCAGCGCTTTGGGTGGTTGAATTTTGTTTGCAGGCTCTTTTGAAAGAAAGAAAGAAAGAAAGAAAGGAAGATAGATGAATCGTTTACATAGACTCGTAGATCTGTAGATAGGTTCTACAGACGGATAGATCGAAAGGAAGAAAGAGGATAGATAGACAGCACGATGGGCAGATAGCTAGCTACCTAGCTAGCTAGCTAGATAGGTGGGTAAGTAAATAAATATATACATATAATATAGACAGGAGAAACACGTAGATAGAACGATGGACAGATAAATAAGCAGCCAGACAGACTGATACAAAGATGAGACTGGAATAGATAGGAAGACAGAGATAGGTATGCGGGTAGACAGATAGATAGATTTGTAGATAGAGAGATAGACAAGAGAGGATGAGAAAGAGAGAGAGAGAGATAGACAGGTAGACAGGTTACTGGGACTAGATAAGATTGACATATGAAGTAGAAAAGACGAGAGTAGAATAGGTAAGATAAGGTCAGTTTAGATTAGAATAGATAGGTTAGGTTCGGTTAGCAAGGATGAAGGCAGACAGGGAGACAAACAAATGGATAGGTCGACAAGTGCAGGGACACATGCACACTGGGCTTTGTAGGGTGGCAAGCATGCCTGAGTAGTTTCGGTTGATGGGCGGCACCACGCTGCTTCATGATGAGGATGGAGCTGGACATCCCACATACTCACCTGCAGTGCGCCCTTGCATGAATTTTGCCAGAGGCTGCTGCGTCGTCCGTTGCCGGAGGGTATGCCTGTGAGTACGTTTGCTTGTTTGAGCTCGCTCATGACAGGCATTTGGAAGCCGGCAAATTTATCGTTGGGTCGCACTTCGTGCACAACTGCGAGCATTCTCCCCAGCGCGCTGTGTACCATAAAGTGGTGCAGGCGAGGACAAAGCAATGTTGCTCATGCATGTAGCATAATTACTGTTTGCAAGTAGTTGGTTAATGGTTGGCGCCATATTTGCCACGAGCTCTACTGTCATGACAGATACATGAAAGTGTAAACTCCTGACTATGTCGGTAGCAGAGGAAGCCGATGCAGGTTTGGGAAACTGAATTGTTGCGTCGAACGGCGGAGGTGAAGAGCAAGCGAACATCAGATGCCGGTTCGGGACGCATGTACCGGTATCACATTGCCACAGAGGCCAAGGGGGAGGGGAGTTCAGCTTCGCTGCATGTACAGCTCTCGCATTCAGACGATGTTCCTGTTTGTCGCTTCAGTTTAGCCAATCTTGCCTGCTGCCCCGCGTTATTGTTCTGCACTGCATTTGCAGGCTGTGCCTCACATGGGCCACACAGCGCGACACATCCAGTTCTACTTCAACTACATGCCTGTGGAGGCCGGCTTGACGGCTGCCAAAATTTACTGGGTCCCCAGCTCTTTTCTGATACGCATTGGAAGGTGGAAGCTTGCGCGTCCTTGGCTTAAAAAAACTGATACCCTGTGTCAAGTCAGGCGCGTGAGACGGAGAACCCTTTTCCAAAGCCTCGCCCGGAGCTTGGCAATCGGCCAGTCGGCAAGATTGAGCATCAGATGGCTTAAAGGACATGAGCACAGAATGAAGCCTGGCTTCACTCCCGAAGACAGCAAACAACTGGGATCTTGAGGCACCTTCTTGGACCGACCGAAGCAGTCTCGGAGGCCAAGAGTGGTGCTGGAAGTGTAGCATGTGAGTCCTGGGTTTTTTGGGAATCTGTGAGAGCTTGCCCGCCTCTTGGTCTTGGCTACGGCATGCGAGTCTGGACAAAATGTCGAGGCACTCTCTAGGTCTTGCTAGAGATACGAAACTATTCTCAACCTTTATTTCCAACTGCACTGCATTCAGCCAGGCTTGTTTGAGTCCTGACTCACCCATGGCAGGCTCTTTGACTTTCCCAGTGCTGGACTTACCTTTCTTGACAGCAACCAGTTGACGGAAGTGGGGTCTGTCTTTTTTTGGTGGTACTTTTTTTGGTTTTGGGGGGGGTCCCTGAAAAAAGACAGACCCAAGTCAGACTTCCAGTCAGTCATGAGAGTCAGTGCTGCTGGCTTGCCGAGCAACATGACTTGTAGT